ATTCAATCATCCAAAACCCACTAAAGGGCTTGATGCACTTTCACATCAGTACCACCATCACAGCTGCTACCGGATCAAATATTGTTACAAACACAACTCCTTTAATCTTCATGCACCAAAGCTGTGCAATGAAAATGAATCCACTGTAGACCAATCCCTGAAAAACAAGTCACACAGATGATATTCGCAATCAATTATTAATGGAATAACGGAACAAACAAGCAAGTCTAATTGGGTTGACTCACCAAGTAGACAACGCACCAGAGGCTCAGGCCGTGTCCTAGCTAATCATTCAAACTTCTTGATTTCCTTTTGACCAGTGATGATTCTTGATATATGGAGGCCCCGACTGAAGGCCAGGTTGAACAGCAGCCATGAAAGGAATCAGGGACAGACCCAGTACACCACTCAAATTCTTAGTTTCCAAAGAAAATATGTCATCTTTTGTGTAGTTGTAGAGGTCCATCAGTAACATGCCGTCACTCAAATTTTGTGCTAGTTCCGTCCCTAATGATGCAGAACATAATTTGAGCTTTTTCCCAAATACTCGCCGCCCCCATGAAACCACCTAAAATTACAAGGGACACCACACGCCATTATGAAAGGCCATTCTTACCTTCCGAGTTCCTACAAAAGCGACCATGACTAGCCAAGACAAGATATATGCCTAGAAAGGGAAGAGGAATTAGGATACCTTGCAAGTGTACAATACTACACAACAAGCATTAAAGCAGATAGTGTACAATTTAAGTTACCCAAATGGTTCTGTAAGGATTAGTTATGTTTAGATGGTAAACAATGTTACACTGGTAGACCAAAAATCGAAGTGAAGAGGATTATTTCCATCAGACGGGCACGGAAACAAGTTTTGCTGAGGCGCTCCTGCTCAGTTGTCCACCAAACTTCCGAGCTCTGTTACACAGATATGCCAATACCCCTTTGTTGTCTATCCAGTTCCACCATAAGTAGTGGATGAATGGTGTTTGACGAATTTCATGTTCAAGAGTTGCGTGCTTACGTGGTGAGACGCAACGTGGAGCTCTGGGTCTTGTTTCAGAGTTTGTGCTCTGTTTAGAACGTCGTCGTTTAGATGAAGCTGAGATACCACTTTATGTGCTGTTTATGTTAGGTTCGGATGTTTTGGAGTGTTGCGTCCTCTGGTGATACTTAACTGTGTCTCTTTGCACATATGGAGCAGCATTTATGTGCTTGTATTCACTCTTGACCTGAGTTTGTGGTTGCCATACGTTTGATGCTTGTTTGAAGATGATGCACTACTGTGCTGTGTTGTAGGATTTGGGGTAGTTGTGATGTTGTATGCCACTAGTGATTTCACAGTTCGGTGTCAAGAAATATTTACATTTAACACAGAATTTTACCTTACCTGAATTGTCATTTTTACTAGCAGGAAAAAAGTATATATACCTGTCAAACCTTCAGCAAAACCATCTACATTGTTCAAGGTAGGGTAAGCAACACTCTGACAGCAACAAATACTCCCCCCATCCCAAATTATAAGTCATTCCAACTTTCTTGGAGAGTCCAGACATCTTAAGTTTGACCAATATTTATATAATAAAATAATGATATTTTTTATTCCAAAAAAGTATCAATAGATTCTTTATTAATTATATTTTCATAATATATACCTATTTGATGTCATAAATTCTTGTAATTCTTTCTATAATTTTGATAAAACTTGAGATTTTTTTGACTCTCCAAAAAAGTTCGAATGCCTTATAAATTGGACGAGGGAGTAACATTGTAACATGTTGGGAGAGGATGAGGCTGGCAACTGTCAAGGAATGGTCGGCAAGATACACCTAAGAACCATCATCTCATCAAGGAACAAGAATGAAGAAACAAGTAACTGCCTGCGACATGGATTCAATTCAGCAAAAGATCGCTCATCAGGGCATCTTGAGCAGCAAAAACGCCAGACAAAGGCGGCGTGTAGCAGGCAACATAGATCAACAAACTACGGTCACACCAATGGTGTGCACATATACAGGCAAGCGACCAACTCCAAGCAGAGCAAACGTAACAGCATCAACAAAGGTTCTCCTGCCTAAAGGGATGCAGTTCAGGATCAAAATCCATCGAAATGACAACAGACATCAACTAAACTGAACTGATCTGCAATATTACCTAGAGGACAACACGCGAGAACAACCTTCTACTGCGATACTTTGTCCTAGCGAATCATGTACAAGCAACAAATAAGGCGACACAAAATCCCTCAACCCCTGGCTAGTGACACATCAAGACGAGCCGTTCTACTGCCACTTGGAGATGTTCCGAATCGCGATGATGAGTCCTTCTCACTGATCCTCCTGTAGCTGTAGTTATCAACTCCTGAGCTGTGTGCCCCTGAAGCTAACCACCGCAGCTGCAGCACCGTAACAATTCCGAGAGCTAAAGCTGCACTGTTCCCTAATGCACAACCCAAACTTTTGAGATTGAAACTGCTCCCTGCAATAGCAAGACTAGAAGATACCATCCGCGCAAAGAAATTTGGACCCTTTGCAGTGTTACTGGAACTGTCAGCGCACTTCTCAGGCTTGGTAGCTGAGAGAGAAGGCCAAACATCCTGGTAGACATTGCGGACGAAGTTGGACGCCTCATCTATGACTTCGTGATTTTTCCCATGATGCTCTTTTAGTCTTATTGCAAGCATGATGCGGCTTTGCTCCAACCTTGCTAATGCAAAATCTCGTTCTGCCTGTTGCTGTGACTGCACAGCCTGAAAAGAAAGAACCGTTGTGCAGTTAGACAATGCAAATGCAGACTAAAAGCGTTAACGTGATTATTTCCTATAATAGCCACAGAACACACTATATAGACGGTAACAAACAACATAATTTATTCTACAAGTTAATCTATAGAAATGGAAAGTTTAGATTTCAGAGCAGTACAGAAATATTAGACATTTAACATTTAGATGCAACCCAGCTCATTTTTTCAAGATAATTTGGCATGTTGAATGAGAACGAGTACAAGTGCTGAAACCACATAATAATGATAAACAACTGTAAACATAAAGGATGTAGAGAACTGAAGTTCTCTGCTCCAACCATACCATGTAATAATACAATCAGAGTAGAGCTTTTGTTCATAATCATGGTATGGTACGGACAGACCAATCCAAATGTGCTTATGCACTCAACAATATCACTGCAATAATTTTTTTTGAACGCAAATATCGCTGCAATAATACAATCAGAGTAGAGCTTTTGTTTATAATCATGTTATGGTACAGACAGACCGATCTAAATTACAAATGTGCTTATGCACTAAGCCATATCAGATATCACTGCCTACTTGCCTGAAACCACCAAACATGGCCATGAATTTGCATCGCATATAACCATATCACAAAGGATTTAAACAAGGTCTGGCTACAAGATGGATACAGGCCAATTGCCCAAATAACTTTTTCTTTAAGAAAATAATTAGCCCAACCACATGCAGATCTGCCTATAAGCGATTCATCCAAGGTAATTCACTAATTCCCCTCTTCATCAAGAAAAAAATGGAAATCGGCACCCCGCGATTGACTAGTTCCATTCTCAACAACCACTTAAACATGTGGTAACCGCACAAAATCCTACCGTGGTTTCAAGCCTGAACATATCACTCGCTTGGAAACCACCCGCATTTCCAGTTACACCGAGTCCCCAACACTAGTCGAACATTCTTTTTTTTCAACAAACTAATAAACATTAACAAATTCGCAGCTCGCATCGAGCACAGAAGATCAGATCGCACGAGCAAGACCGACAGATAGCCCAGGAGGAGAGGAGGGAGGGAAAGTCAGGTCAGGAGGGGGCTCACGAGAAAGCACTCGAACTGGTCCTCGAGGTCCTCGAGCGCGGCGCGGATGGCGTGCAGGCTCCTGGCCTCATCAGCCAGGGCCGCCAGAGCGGCGACCTCGTCTCCACCGCGAACGCCGAGACCCAGACCCCCGCCCTTGACGTACACGAGGCCGGCGGCGGGCTTGTCTCCGGAGGCGGACGCGCGGCGGCGGACGGCGCGCAGGAAGTGGGCGCGGGAGAGGGCGTGGATGGCGTCGCTGACCTTGTCGTGGAGGTCCCAGATGGTCTCCAGCACGGCCTCCGCCTCCTCGGGCCCCATCGGGAACCCTAGGTCCGGCCGGAAGGTCTAGAACATTCGGACGCAGGGGGGCTGTTTCGATTTCGAATCGAGAAGAGAAGAGGCGTTGGACGACGACTCACCGTCACTGGACTGGTGTGGTGGTGGTTTTGCGGCGCCTCATTTTTAGCCGAGTCACAGTAACTGCATTTTAGCCGTCTTATTCGCCGGTTATTACTGTCACCTCGGGTTGAAAATGTCAGCTCCTCCACTGAACCACGAGTCCATGCTAGATAGTCCACCATAATCTTGTACAGTCACTGGGCATGCAAAGATATCGATTGCCAAGAAATTGGTTTTGTCACCACTGCTAATGGGCTTTGTTTTAAAAATCGTCTAGCACCACCATTGGGATGGCTGATGTGCTATGTAAAATTGACTAGCATCATAGGGGTGGCTGTCAAGTGCCAAAACGAACTGGAACAGAGGATAAGTCTCTTCCATCAAAAATTCTTGCAGTGTTGCAGCTGAACAATTTGAAAGGTATTCCTTTTGCAGAATGAAATCAATCTAACATTTTAGGGGCAGCAGCATTTGGGCCTTCGATAAATACACCTAGCTTTGATCATATCCAAGATGACAAGACAAATATGTAATCCCAGGCACATGGCGGCCAGACAAACATATTTAGAAGCCCAAAGATTTAAGGGCATAAAACTGAAAAAAAATAAGCCTCTTTTTTTTTGTCTGAATCACATCCTGGAGGATTACATTGTTTCAAGGATTACTTCAGAGATTCCAGCAGAGTAAGGAAATGTCTTAGTTTCAGAACGACTACAAGGTGCCATTTTAACATCTCATCAACCATCTATCTTAATTCAAAACCTGGTTACAAAAGTGTGTTTCCTTCAACGTCTCTTCCTTCTGCCCCCCTTCTGTTTACCCTTCCCCTTGTGCTTGCCCTTTCTCATCTTCGGTTCTGGCGCGTCCCTCCCTGATGGTTTCGGTGGCGCCAGAAGATGCTTGACGTCCAGTATACCATTCTTAAAGCGCCCTTCTGTGGCCCTAAGAACTCGGTCCTCTGGTCTAGTCTTCTGAGCTTTGGTATTCTTGTCTCTTTTCCCAAAGATCCCAAGTAGTTTTTCCTGTATAGAGTTCTCATGTCACTCCTTGTCTATGTCCTTAAAAGAAGTTATACAAAGTGTAACAGATAAGAGGTAGCATACCTCTTCCATTTTCTTTTGTTCTCTTTTCTTCTGATTTTTCATAGCTGGCTTCGCGACACTCAATGGTGTGCGGTGCTTCTTAACGGCCTATTTCAGATAACATAAACATTGAGATAATGAAAAAAGTTTCAAGCCAGAACATGTAGAGGTAAAAAAAAAGAGAGATTACCTTTCCACCCAACTCAACGACTCTACGGTTCTCGATTTGCTTCCGCCCCTTAAATGTAGGGGCACCTAGAAAAGAAGCATCAAGTGAGTGACTGTACATCTCCAAATCCTTGATAAGTGTTTATGAAAGATGGAACAATACAGGGAAAAGGTGCAGATAAATTGAAGAAGAACAAAACCACATAAACTGAACTCAAACAAAAAAACATCTTCTCCTCTTTCCTCCCGAATGAAAAGGAACAACAATTCTGATCCCACTTCATCAACAGCATAAAAAGTTGAAAAATAATTGCATGAACAAGTCGGAGCCTTTCAAAACCTGATAATACGAGGATCAAGGTGCACTGATGCAGCATTCATTTCTATAGTTTACAGCTACTTAAACCAAAAGACTATAGAGCAAGCTGCTCGACTCACCCAATCTAGGTTTGAAAATATAGATGAAACTAATTTACATGCACTAGTCTAGTAGTCTGTTGCATATGAATTTAATTTCAAATGCTTCACATTTACCTTGAGCAGCGCGACAGTTTGGTTTACAAATTGTTGTTATCTCTACCTATCGAATCCCGGGTCCAAGCTCGGGCACCCGATAGCGCCACGTCGCCTGCTATCCCTCTCGCCGTCTGATCCGCCGAACTCGTGATGTCCTCCGTCCGATCGCGGTTTTGTTCGGGTCTCCACTCTCCACCCGCTTCTTCGGAACCCGAACAATCATGAAATTTCTCGCGGCTCCACGCCTCCACCTCTCGCGCCGCCGGCTGCCTGATCTTCCCGGCTGCCCCTACCACGGAACGGGGCAATCCACCGGCGTCGGCCGCGCTCCCAGCCGTCGTTCACTCTTCCCTCCTCCTTCCACCCCTTTCCTTGCTTGGCGCGCCACCTCCTACCGCTCCACGCTCGAGCTCAAGCTCGAGCTCCAGGGGCTGCAGGGCCAGCCTCCTCATCACACAACGCTCAAACGCTCCGCCTATTTGCCTGCTTCTCTTGTGGCGCCTCCTCGTCCACGGCGTAGTCCTCGATGCCGTGGTCGGTACAGCAGCACGAGACGAGAAGAAGCTAGGCCACAGAAAAATGGCGGAGGCCAGGCGGAAGCGACCGTTGCCATGGAGCTCCACCTCATAGCTCTCTCCCATGTCCCCAATGTAGACACATCACTTTCCTGCTCCTCTCCTTTTGCTGCCTGCCTCTATGGCCGTCGAAGAACAAGCAAAAGTCTAAGCAATGCCATCCTCGGATCCTGGCCAGGCCCAGTAGTATGAGCAACGGGCTACTGCAGTATAGTGGCGGGAGGTCTCCATCTCTGCTGCGCGGCCACTGCCACGTCCGCTACTCAATTCGCCCAGCCGCGTTCTCCCGCTTGCACGATGCTCGCCCGAGCAGGCAGGCCCTTCCACTCTGTCTTTAGGGGATTGGTCCTCAGCAGCCTCTGCACATCGTGTGCTCGACGAATTGCCCATGAGAACTCCAGATAGTTGAAGAGTGTGAAAAGGCTCAGTCTAGCAGCAGGCACGGGAGCAGCACGGCCATGGAGCTGATGCTTAGCCTGGAGCTCCAAGCGGTTCAAGCCACAATAGATGCAGTAGACCATGACGAGATCATGCCCGTATGATTATTGGGTCACATCATTTGTTTGAAGTCTCAAAAGGTTTGTTTGTATCATTATATCCATCGTATCGTATTTCTGTTTTCCTTCAATCTTGGTTGACGTGTTTATAACAACTTAAATAATGTTTTTGCAGATTGTACGGAGCTATCACAAAGTGAATGACTGCAATCGAAGTATGTACAGGCACCGTTCTACCACTATAATATTAAAGTTGATCCAATACACATTTCTTTAGTATTCTAACCAGGTTGACAATAGTCCCAAATCTGTAATATTTTACATCTCAGTTTCATTACCCTCGATTTGGAGCTTGAGCAATTGTTTGCAGAAATAGAACCATTTAATGAATATAGAACCAGGCTGACAATAGTCTCAAACATGTAAGTTTTACGTTTCATTTTATTCACAAGGAGCTGATGTTAAACACAAAAAAATCAATTAGTTTTACCTCTTCAAATATTCTGGATATAATACCAATTAAGATACATGGTTGAAATTTAGCGCTGATCCATTAGGACAGAAAATAGTTGCTTGAACATTTTGTCAAGATTTACCAAGATTTTACTGTTAACTGTTAGAGATATGTGTGTACTTTGTATTTTCATATTGCACAAGGGTTCTTCTCGTCTCCGGCTGCGGCTCCTTCCTCGACTCCGTCGCGGCTCTTCTCGTCGCGCCGTCGCGGATCTGGACGTGACTCTTCTTGTCGCGCCGTCGCGGCTCCATTGAGGCTCGGGGCGCGACTCTTCTCGTTGCGCCATCGCTTGGCCGGCCACTGCTCCTCACGCCGCAGCTCCTCGCCCGCCCGTTCTTCTCTCTCCTGCGGCTCGCACCTCCGCAACTCGGGCGTCCGCTGCCCTGTTGCTCCGGAGCTGCACGAGGCTGGGCACGGCATGCTCAGCCCACCGGCATGGCTGCTCCTGCTCCCGCTCCCTTGCTGCCCTATTGCCTGTGCGGTAGCGGCCCCCTGCAGCCGAGCGCGTGCTCAGGAGCCGCTGCTCCACCCTGTGGCCGCCCGCACCCGCACGAGTTCGCGTGCTCTGTTTTCTTCACCTCCGATCTGGTTGAGTTTGGGTAATTAAAAAAAAGATGGCATCTCCACAGGTTCCTCCCTCTGGTGGTGCTCAAATCCCACGGTGTCCAGTGATTTTCAATGGCACCAATTATCGTGACTGGGTTTCACATACACGGTGGCATATGCGTGGTCTCCGGCTTTGGGAGTTTCTCAGTGGTGAGCTACCTTGTACAGCCTTGCCTGCTCGTCCAGTGCAGCCGGTGATTCCTCCAGGAACATCTAAAGATGAACAAAAGAAGTTGCGCGAAGCTTATGATGATGACATGGCTTCTTATATGTCTCATTTTCGGGCTTATCGGGCTTGGTTGGATGAAGATGCTCTGGGGCTGTTCTTGTTGCTAGTATGGAACCACATCTGGCTGGAGAGGTTATTCGACTTGATCATGCTGCTCAGATGTGGGCCTTTCTTCGCTAGCACTATGAGCCCTTTGATTAGTCTACTTATATTGTCGCTTTACGTCAAGAGCAGTTGTTACAGCAGGGTGACAGTTCAGTTGAGGATTTCTTTCAACAGCTATCTGCAATATGGCGTGAGCTTGACACTCTTAGTCCTCAGTTGTCTCCGGACACTTGTGATTCCTGCAGGAAGCAACAGAGCCACCTTGAGCTTCGGCGCACCTATGACGTCCTAACTCGTTTGTGTACCGAGTTTGAGCCTCTTCGTGCTCAGTTACTTGCTCATGAGCCGTGTGTGTCATTGATGGAGGCTCTTGCTGCTGTTCGTAATGAGACTCGCCTTCGTTCTGCTAGTCTTCTTCAGCCAACATCCTCCTTAGTTCTGGCTGCTCAGTCTGGAATTCTTGGTTCTTCTCCCAAAGTGCCTGCTTCAGCAGCCTCTGGTGGCTCTGGGACTCGCAACTCAGGTGGCCTTCATTGTAATCACTGTGACAGAGATGGGCATGATGAGGATCATTGTTACAAGAAGAAGCGACAGGCCCAGTCTCGCCGAGGTGGGCGTACCTCACAGGCTCGGTCTCAGCATACTGATACATAGCAGGAGATACTCATGTTACTTCGTCGTCTTGCTGTTCCTGCACGTACTGGAGCTACTGGTTCTGTCACTTCTGGAGCTGCTGGCTCTGTCACTACTACCCCAGCACTCTCTGCTGCTACTTCTCAGATTTCTATCGAGAGACCACCATCCACTTCAGGTATCTTGCCATGGATTCTTGACTCTGGTGCTTCTTTTCATATGACGCCTGATAGTACCCGTCTTTCTTCTATTTGCTCTCCTTCCATTCCTCTCACTGTTCAAACTGCTGATGGCTCACCTCTTTCGGTTGTTGGTCATGGCACTCTTTCATCTTCTTCATTTCATGTTCCCAATGTTTCTTATGTTCCTGATTTGACCATGCAACTTATTTCTGCTGGCCAGCTCACTGATCATGGTTGTCGTGTTATTCTTGATTCTGACTCTTGTCGTGTTCAGGATCTCAGCACAGGTCTCCTAGTTGGTACTGGCCCTCGCCGCCGTGATTCTCAGCGTCTTTGGGAACTCGATTGGCTTCGTCTTTCTTCCGCTGCCTCTGCCGGTCTTGTGGGCTCCGCTTCTCCTGCATTGGCTTCTTCCTCTTTTACTCAGTGGCATCATCGCTTGGGACATCTATGTGGTTCCCGGTTATCCACTCTTGTCCGTCGTGGTGTTCTAGGAAATGTCTCTGGTGATGTTTCATTAGATCAGTGTCAGGGCTGTAAGCTTGGCAAACAGACCCAGCTTCCATATCCCTCTAGTGGGTCTGTGTCACAACGTCCTTTTGACCTTGTTCATTCAGATGTATGGGGTCCTGCACCTTTTGTTTCAAAAGGGGGTCATCAATATTATGTCATATTTATCGATGATTTCTCTCGCTTCACATGGGTGTATTTCATGAAACATCGCAATGAGGTGTTACCCATATATAAGACTTTTGCTCGGATGATTCGCACTCATTTTGATACTCCTATTCGTGTTTTTTGTGCTAACTCTGCTGGGGAGTATCTTTCGGATGCTCTTCGCCAATTTCTTTTTGAGCAGGGGACTCTTTCACAATTTTCTTGTCCTGGTGCGCACGCTCAGAATGGTGTTGCTGAGCGCAAACATCGCCACCTTCTTGAAACTGCCCGTGCTCTTATGATTGCTTCCTCGGTCCCACCTCATTTCTGGGGCGAAGCAATCTCCACTGCCACCTATTTAACCAACATTCAGCCCTCATCCGCTCTTAAAGGTGGCATCCCATATGAGCGCCTTTTTGGACATCCACCTGATTACTCCAGTCTTCGCCTTTTTGGATGTCTGTGCTATGTTCTTCTTGCTCCCCGTGAACGCACTAAACTGACCCCTCAATTTGTTGAGTGTGTTTTCTTAGGCTATAATGCTGAGCACAAGGGCTATCGTTGTTGGGATCCAGTTGCTCGTAGTATGCGGATCTCTCGGGACGTAACTTTTGATGAGTCTCGCTCCTTCTATCCTCGGCCCTCCTCTGATGTTTCTCCTCAGGCCGTTGTTGAGCCTCTGTCCTTCTTGACTTTTCCTGATACACCTATCTCCACTGTGCTTCTTCCTCCCCCACCATCTCCACCTCCTCCACCATCTCCCCCATTGCCCTCTGAGCCGCCTTCACATGCTCCTAGGTCCATTTATGATTTCAAACCTCCTGTGATTCACACCTACAGTCGTCATCTCCAGGATCCCTCGCCTCCTGTTGAGTCGTCTTCTGATGTTTCATCTCCTGTTGAAACATCTTCGGTTGCGGATTCTTTCTCTCAGCCCTCCTCACGTTATAATCTTCGCGATCATGGCTCGCTGAAACCTGCCGACCGGTATGGCTTTTGCTGGCACCGTCCTTTCTGAGCCGACCACCTACCATGATGCCCTTTGTCATCCAGAATGGCAACATGCCATGGCTGAGGAGATCGCTGCTCTCGATCGCACCGGCACTTGGGACCTTGTTCCTCTCCCTTCACATGCTCGTCCTATCACGTGCAAGTGGGTCTATAAGATCAAGACTCGCTCCGATGGCTCTCTCGAGCGTTACAAGGCTCGTCTTGTTGCTCGTGGTTTTCAACAGGAGTATGGTCGCGACTATGATGAGACCTTTGCTCCTGTGGCACATATGACCACTGTTCGCACTCTCCTTGCTGTGGCCTCTGTTCGTGCTTGGTCCATTTCTCAACTTGGTGTCAAAAATGCATTTCTTAATGGTGAGCTCCGTGACTACATGCGACCACCTCCTAGGTATCTTGTTCCTGATGGCATGGTTTGTCGTCTTCGTCGCTCTCTTTATGGTCTGAAACAAGCTCCTCGTGCTTGGTTTCAGCGCTTTGCCTCTGTGATCACTGTTGCTGGTTTTTCTCCGAGCGATCATGACCCCGCCTTGTTTATTCACACCTCGCCTCGTGGTCGCACTCTTCTTCTTATTTATGTTGATGACATGATTATCACTGGCGATGACTCTGAGTATATTGCCTTTGTCAAGGCATGTCTCAGTGAGCAGTTTTTTATGTCCGATCTTGGTCCTCTTCGTTATTTTCTTGGGATTGAGGTCTCTTCCACCTCTGATGGCATTTATTTGTCCCAAGAAAAGTACATTCAAGATCCTCTTGCTCGCTCCTCCCTCACTGATCATCGCACTGTTGAGACTCCTATAGAGCTCAATCTTCAGCTTCGTGCCACTAATGGTGAACCTCTCACTGATCCCACTCGGTATCGCCATATTGTTGGGAGCCTTGTCTATTTGGGTGTGACCCGTCCTGACATCTATGATGTTGTGCACATTCTGAGCCAATTTGTTACTGCTCCCACCAACATTCACTATAGCCATCTTCTTCTGGTCTTGCGTTACCTTCGTGGGACCATTACTGTCATCTCTGTTCTTCCCGCGCTCTAGCTCTCTTCACCTCCAAGCCTACTCGATGCTACTTGGGCTAGCGACCCCTCTCCTGAACGCCACTCTCTTTACGCCTCTCAGATTTTCCTTGGTGGTTCTCTCATTGCTTGGAAGACTAAGAAGCGCACTACTGGATCTCGCTCGAGTGTAGAGGCGGAGTTATGAGCTATGGCTCTTGCTACAGCAGAGGTTACTTGGCTTCGATGGTTACTTGAGGATTTGGGTGTTTCAGTTTATGTGCCCACTCCACTTTTGCTCGACAAGTACCAAAGCCATCAACATAGCTCGTGATCCAAAGGAAGCATGAGCTCACAAAGCATATTGGAGTTGATGCATATTGCACTCGAGCTCAAGTCCAAGATGATGTCATTGCCCTTCGCTATGTGCCCTCGTGAGCTTGGAGATAGCTGATTTCTTCACCAAAGCACGCATAAGAGCTCAATATCGCTTTTTTCTCTCCAAACTCGGTTTTCATGATCCACCCCGAGTTTGAGGGGGGTGTTAGAGATATGTGTGTACTTTGTATTTTCATATTGCACAAGGGTGCTTCGCATGATTTGTACATGTACATATGGTGGCCTTTTGCCCCTTCTCGTAAGACAAGCTCTATTCTAGCATTAACTACTACTACAACTACTTTTTTCAAAAAGTACAAACTGATGCTTTACTCGAGTTCATAGTTAGCCTTCCTCATCTAAGATCTAACATTAGGTGCAGTTTATTTGCGTTGAACTGATCTGTTTTTAACATTGAGGTTTTTGCTTCACACGCCTATTCCATTCGCAGTGAGAGAATCATATAATGTATCCATTTATATCTCCTGATGTGTATTGTCTAGAAATTCCCACAAGTATTCATCTTACATTGTAATGAATTAGGGAAGAAGAAAATTGCATTTCTCCTAAGATTGCATCTATCTCCTAGTATGTTCAGAAATTATAATTTGATCTTATTGTCATCCATGAAAGTACCATGGATGCTCTGTTCTTGGAAGAGAGCATCAGGCAGAGGCAACTGGTGTGTCACTATTGCAGGGTTAATTCTGTTAGCATTCTGATCAAGCGAATAAAATATAGCATTATAGATAAATCGAAATTGAAGGGCAGGCCTGGTGCAGTGGTGAGAGCTGTCTCACTGAGTCACCAGGTCGTGGGTTCGAAGCAGCCTCTTCGCAGATTTTGCGGGGGGGAGGCTTGCCTCGGTTTTTCCCTTCCCCAGACCCCATTCATGTGGGAGCCTCCGGCACTGGGTCTGCCCCCTTTTTTATACATAAATCGAAATTGCCAACATTTAAGACTACCGTGAATCAACTTGTAGGAATTGTCGTTAGAACAAGAAAGCTCTTATCAAATAATAAACTAATTGATTACTTATAGCCAGAAGAAACAAATCCTTGGTCCAGTTGATACAACCTCTACAACACTTAATATAGCCCAAGATATTATGAAGTCAACAGTTTGCTATTTCAAGGAACTTGAGATGGACAGCGGCAAACGTGGCTGGCGTTAAATTGGCATTTGTAGCATGTCACTATTTCTTAAAAGTAAATATATCCTTCCTAAAGTTGATATTTGATCTGCCTAATGGTTGTATTCTGGATGTAAGAATAAAGTAGCCTAATGGTCACTCTGGAAGGATTTAAAGTTAACACCATTCTATGTACCTCATCTTTGTACAGGCAAATTTTATGACAAGCTTGGGATTCCATAGATTCTAATCACGTATCTCAAAACAAGGTAATATAGGTTTAATATTGATCCCCAGTTTTGCAGTACAGGATATATACAGATCATGAGAGAAAAAGATTATCTTCTAATCTGTCTCTTGAATTTTTAATTTTTCACCTTGCTAATTTGTGTTATTTCTTTTTGCTACAACTTTGTGATTTCCAGGTTAGATATATTCATGGAAAAATAAAACTACACTCAAATTTGAAGTACCTTCGAGATGAATACAGGCCAACACAAAGATCTGAAAACCTTGATTTTAAGTTGAAATTTGTTGAGGTAAGACTAATACTATGATGTAGAACATTCTGTGGTCGAATGATTTTCTGTTAGGAATGTTTTACTGCATGTATTTTGAACTCAGTAACATGACATCAGATTTCTTCAGGAGATGCTTCCGAACATGAAGCTTGAATCTCTAGAATGGATTATCATCATCCTGAAAAGCGTGGAGGTCTTAATATTTTTATGACATAATCCAAGGAGCAACTGTAGTGCTCAGCTCTGTCTTGATTATGAGAAGCATTTTGACCATGGATATTGGCATATTGGATAATTGGAATGCCATTTACAAAATGGTAAAGGATCGTCAAACACAACATGATTAATTGTGGCCCTCTGCCCTGAATCTGGTGTTCATCTAGTTTTCAGCATAATTTAGTAAGATTCAACAAGTGATTAATCTAGATGCATAGGCTGGCCCTCTCCATGGAGGAGGGCGGCAACGCCGCGCCCGTATTTCTAGTTGTAACCTAACATAGTTGGTAAGGCATGCTGTCCCTACTCCCTACCATATGGCAGAATGGTATAAAATGTAAACAAGGCACGAGAAAAAAAAAACATCGCAATTTCTGTGTATGTGGTATAGTCAAGGTACTATTAGTAGGGCACAAACAGTTCTCGAGTAATTACCAATGATCTCAACATCTTTCAACAGCTTCATGATATCAATCTCAGGCTCCTCATCAGATGTGTCAGCAGATTTCTCCAAAACTGGCTCCCGATACATATCCGAGAGACTCGATCCCTAGAAGGGGAAAAAACGAAGACCATTAGGACGCCAGTGGGATCTACTGTGAACATGGAGGAACTGCAGCGCCAATTGAACAAAGATGTTCCAGAGAGAAGGCAGGAGAGACGGAGACAAACCATGAAGCTGTTCCGCTCTTTGCTGGCCGACGGCGCCCCAGGGCGGCGGGGCTTCCGGGCACGGGAGGCCAACGGGTCAAAGATCACTTCCGCAGCCGCCTTGACCGGCGTTGGCTTGGGCCTCCCCTTCACCATCCTCTCGTTCTCCTCCTGTTCCCCTTCCCCACAGCCTCGGGCACTGCTGGAGAACGTCACCGCGTCGGCGTGGGACGACCGGAAACCGGAGGACGGGAACGGCGGCTCGGAGAATCGCGAGATGCCAGGCACGGTCGGCGCCGGCACAGCTGACGCGAGTTGCGAGGGCGGAGGTGGGACTGACTGGTGAGTCTAGGGCTGGCGGATTGGGCTCTTTTTGGGCCGAATAGGATTGAGTTATCCGTCAGGTGTCGCCACGCATATGGGCCGGCCCATCATCCGTAGCTTCGCTGTGCGCCTGTGCTGGTCTCGCGGTCGCAGGGGCACGGCGCCACGCGTTGGCTTGTTACCTTCTGGGCCGTCGCATTCATTTCAAAAAATGAATGAAAATGAAACAAGAGGGAGGCTTAGCAACAGCACCTCATTAGTCATTACTTCCCTAAAAAAAAGCACCTCATTGCTCCAAGCGTCTATGAATAAGTGAATTTTCAGAGTCGTCTTAAATTAAACTTTCAATTGGTTTTATAAAAAAAAACTATAAGTACACTAAAAAGTATTAAATGAAAATATACTTCATGTTGTATCTAATTATATTAATTTTATGTCGTAAATTCGGTAAATCTTACAGAATTTGACTTAGAACTTGTTTTTATTTAGGGAGAGATGTCGTATTACTCTAAAGAGAACAATAATAAAGGAAATAAAGTAGGTTGCCAACTACTGAAATCTCAACAATGCATTTTCATTTGAAAAGGGTTCACAGATATCGCCATCCATTGATCGACAACAATCGACATGTGTTGGTTGTCATCATGCATTTGCCCGATATATAAGTCTTTTTGTTGCAATTAAGGCGGCGTTCAGACCAGCCGGCTGGTCCGGCTGCTTTTCCTCACATTGCTATAGTGCATCTTCCAGTCGTTACAGTATTTCTCTCTCACACAACCAGCCGCTACAGTATTTTGATTTATTTTTTCAGACAAACGAACAGGGCCTAAATTGTCCTTCTGCAGTATACTAGTATTAAACAACGAAAGAAAAGGCTCATATATTGCATCCAAACGCTTCCCATTTGTTTCAATTCAGTCGATCGATGCATGCAATCAGTGGGTTTTCAGTTGGTGGTTATCAGCCTGTTCATTTGTTGGTTTCAACCAGCCCAAACCAGCCAGCTAACAGTGTTTTCCTCTCAAAAAAACCAGCACCAGCCAGCCCAAACCAGCACCAGCCCCAACCAGCGAACAGGCCCTATGTGTGCACACGGCTTAATTTCCACTATCCTCGCTTCTGATTCCTTAGAGTCGGATCGGTGGCCATATTTTGCGTGTGCCTGCAAATCCGCATTTCCTTTTGTGTTTCGCCTTAGCACTGCACTATATATTATCTATATATAAATCTCAATTTGGTAGGCCAAAGCCATAAATCAACTGCAAGTTTGCTTCTTCTATTGCTACTTTTAGAAGTCCTCCCTACAGTGCCAAAGTGCTAATTAGCTAGCTTTTTTTAGATAAGGACTAATTAGCTAGCTAGTACCAACACTACCATAAACAGGATCTTTGCTGTGTGTCCAAGGCATACGGCGAAGCTCAAAAAACACTCGACAAAGACTTTGTCGAGTGTTACACTCGATAAACAGCACATGGCGTACACAGTGACGGTAAAAGTTTATTTGCTGAGTGTTTTTTATCAGGCACTCGGCAAAGACGTTACCGAGTGCTAAAGCCAATGCTCGGCAAAAAAAAGTAACATGACGACGCGGAGGCGGTCACGACGTGTTTGCCGAGTATCTAACGGCATCGGCACTCGGCAAACATGACATTGTTTGCCGAGTGCCCCAACCATGACACTCGGCAAATAATCCATGTTTGCCAGAGTGTCCCAGCCCAGACACTTAACAAATAATCCATGTTTGTCGAGTATCATATCCCGGTCATTCGGCAAAGACTGGCCATTCCAGACCTAGCTTTTGGTCTATTCACCGAGTGTCCAGGCGCTGACTCAGCAAACATGTCTTCTTTGCCGAGTGTCACAGCGCAGACACTCGCCAAAGAAGCCATTTTAGCACCAAAATGTACAGATTTTTGCCACGTGTCCGCTTTGCCGAGTGTATTTTTTATGGCACTCGGTAAATAGTTTTGAAGATAGTGGAAAAAGTTTCAAGGTCAAAAGAGAAAAAAAACTTATTATTTTATGCCGTTATAGCTTAAATTCAATTTATATCAATTAAAATTCTATAATTGCACATAATAAATTAAAATTATCAAACGGATCAAAAAATTACCAAAATTACACATGAATCAATTTATGTTCTCTATTGCCTATACAAAAAGTTTTAAAGTTAAACCCCAATTCAATCGTTACTTTGACCCCAATTCAATTCTCTGTTTTGTCGAGTGTTTTTTCTTAGTTTGCCGAGTGTTTTTTTCAGCACTCGGCAAAGAATTTGTTTATCGAGTTCCATTATTTTGCCGAGTGTGTTTTTTTAGCACTCAACAAAAAGCTTGTTAGCCGAGTGTCCGATAGAATACACTCGGCAAATCTACTGTTTCTAATAGTGCAAGTATACTCTTCTAGCTCTTTATCCTAATCACCTCCATTCTCTGATGTTACACACTGTCATAGGAATATATTGGAGCTAGGCACCTAGCTAGCTTAGCTAGATAGATAGGGTTCTAGGCAACTTTATTTTACTGTGATTTCGTAATGACAAAGATAGTATATATAATTGCCACATGAATGCTACAAGTACAATCTTTAAGCCTTATAAAAACATCATTGAGCTGGAGCTGGGTTAAAAGCTTAAAAGATGCCTTGCCTGAACCTTACTTTTGTGTAATGCTGTGATTCTGAGATTCTTCAGAAGCAGAATTCTAATCCTGCTACCTATACTATACCTGTAGCTCCCCAGTTCATCAAGTGCCTGATGCTACGAGTAAATTTCTAATATTGCGCATCTGGCTCGGATGGTGTGCTTAGAGGACACGAGGTTTATACTGATTCGGGCAGAATATCCCTACGCCCAGTTCGTTGCTGCTGCTCGTGTTACTCGCACTAAAAGTTTGCAGTAGGGGTTACAAACGGGCGAGAGATGGAAATGATTCCAAGTCTCTAGTGGAAAGAGTGAACGGGTGCTGAGAGCTCGATCGCTGCTCAACCATGTGTTCGTGTCGTGTTCTTGTGTGTTTATCTGGCTTGAATCGGATCGGGGTAATTCGATCGGATCTGGCCTGAATCGATCCGCCCCTCATGAGGCGTCCTGCTTTCTCTTTCATAGGTCAAGGGAAAGCACGGGTTACATCGGAGGGAAAGAGAAGAACGAGAGAGAGCCGAAGGCCTTCAGGATCGCCAGGTCCTTTTTATCATTCTGCGGGTCTCGCGTGACCCTGTAGATGTCAACAGGGATGTCTCCACATCGCGGCCTTGTTCATCACTGGCGCCATGCACAGGCGTCATTACCGGTCATGGCGCTCCACTCTGTCCTGGCGGACATCATGGTGAACTGACGCGCCTGTCAGTGTTCGTACGACGGTTAGGCAGAACAGCACTAGTACGCCCGACGCTGTTCCTGATGTGAATCCTCGGGTATGGCCATCGTGGCCGCGGATTACATTGGTGCGTGTCGGTCTGCTCCCTAGTGTCAGAGCTTTTGACCCAGGCCCATACACTTGAACCTGGAGTGGTTGGCGGCGGCATGGGTCTTCGTCGGGTGAGACGGAGTCCACGGCCTCGGGGTCGGGCGAGGCGGAGCCCGTGGCCTTGGGGTCGGGTGAGGCGAAGCCCATGGCCAGAGGCCGGACGAGACAGAGTGCAAAACCCGAGCATCGGGCGAGACAGAGCCCGTGGCCTCAGGGTCGAGAGAGGCGGAGCCCTCCCCCAGAGGTCGGGCGAGGCAGAGGCTGCGGCCTCGGGGTCAGGTGAGGCAGAGCGCAAACCCAAGGGTCAGGCAAGGCGGAGCTTGTGGCCTTGGGGTCGGGCGAGGTGAAGCCCTCCCCTAGAGGCCGACGCGAGGCGGAGCACAAACCCAAGGGTCGGGCGAGGCAAAGCCGTGGCCTTGAGGTTGGGTGAGGCGGAGCCTTCCCCTAGAGGCTAGGTGAGGCGGAGCGCAAACCCAAGGGTCGGGCAAGGTAGAGCCCACGGCCTTAGGGTCAGGTGAGGCGGAGCCCACGGCCTTAGGGTCAGGCGACACAGAGTGCAAACCCAAGGGTCGAGCGAGGCAGAGCCCGTGGCCTTGGGGTCAGCCGAGGCAGAGCCCTCCCACAGAGGCTGGGTGAGGCGGAGCGCAAACCCAAGGGTCGAGCGAGGCGAAGCCCATGACCTTGGGGTCAGGTGAGGCGGAGCCCGTGGCCTTGAGGTCGGGCAAGGTGGAGTCCTTCCCCATAGGCTCCCTAGAGGTCGGTTGAGGTGGAGCCCGCGCACCAAGGGGTCAGTTGGAGCCGTAGTTGTGCTCTTGACTATTCGGATAAATTAATGTTGATGATCATTAGCCCCTCCACTTCGGGTACCCTAGTATTAGTCCCCGATAGTAGCCCCCAAGAATGCGGAGGAGTAGAATACTCCTTTAGAGGCTTTTCCAAACAGGAGGACTCTGAGGGCCTTGGCCTTCATTTGTCCGAACGGGACGGTGATTGCCTTTCGTTGAGATCGGACCCCTCGAGGGTATAGCCGTGAGATCTGGTAGGTCAGAAAAGGTCTTTCCTGATTTTGACCCCTATGGGGGTCTATCGTTCTATGACCGAGCGTTTA